GGTGATATTATATATATAATGCAATCAATATTTCTTCTTTTGAATTCTTGAATTTGACTTTGAGTTTGATTTTGTCTTTAGATTGACAGTTTCCATATATATCCGAAATCATTTCATTTCTTTCATTTATCCGTTTCTCAAGGTTCATGTAAATAAATATAAATATACATATACATGTATAACATAATGTAATATAACATAACATACATATATTACTATATACCAAGTCTCATCATTTATCCCCATTGTTCCCTTCCTTCCTTCCTTCCCTTCCTTCCCTTCCTTCCAAATTTGTTTCAGCCTGCGCTTGTACTTGTAGATGGCATAAATAATAAATATAACAAATATAGATGAACATAGATAAATGAATATAAATAAATAAGTCATAAAATGAAAAAGTAGATGAGCAATTTAACAACCAAGATCAAGGATATTATACCACCTCCAATCGTATCCAATCCGTTTCATATCCAATGCCGTTCGCAAGTAAGCAAACAAGCAAACAATTCGTAAGTAAGCAAAAAATTCGCAAGCAAGCAAGCAAAACCTCCATCCCATTTCATTTGTGACATATCCTTAACTTTAACAATGATACGATGCCGCAATTGCAATCGTAATCGCAATCCCAATCCTTAACACCTGCTGCTTGGATACGCGTACTATCCTATCCTATCCTATTCCATTCATAAACCATTAAATAATCAAATGAATAATTCATCCACCGAAATAAATGGACAAACTAACAAACCAACCAACCAACCAACCAAATGTCCTGTGATCCAAATCTGTACTTGTACTTGTACTTGCATCTGTATCTGTCTGTGTCCATATCCATATCCATATCCATATCCTATCTGTAACACATCAAGAAGAAGAAAAAACCAAAAAAACATCTGTCGATATCAAAATTCCTACACTCTCCTCTCTTCATATCTCAGCGGAGAATGTTTTTTCCTCTCTTCCGTGGGAGATTTATTTGAACCCCCTGAGTTTCTCCGCTTAAACATGTGTTCGACCATTGCGCGTGGATTTACAAATTCCATGTCCATTTTGAGGGGGTGGAGGGGAACGATGATTTGAGTGCGGGGAGAATGTGGTTGTGAATGTGGTTGTGAATGTGGTTGTGAGGTTGGGTTTGAATGGGGAGTTGGATTTGAGTGAGGGTGGGAATGGAATGAGTGGGATGAATGGGATGAGCTGGGTTTGGGGTGGGGTTTGGGATCGAAATGTCGTTTGATGCTGTCATCGACGAGGGCTATGAGGCCAGTGGAGATGATGACACTATTGGAATATTGTTAGATTTGTTCCTGTATGCACGATAGAAAGAAAGAAAATACTTACTCAGCAACATCTGTAACAGCCGTCAAAACACTCCTATCACTAATCCACATCTGACAAGGTGGTACCCAACCCCCTACTAATTCCTCCTCTCGTATTTGAGCTGGTGATCTTAATTCCGGTACAATATGCGCCACAGCTGCTCCGGAATCCCCTTTGAATAAATGATAGGAAATAGCTTTTCCTTCTCCATCTTTTTCCGTAACTCGTTTCCATGAATATGAATGACCCCAATATTCAAATTCATAACGTTTTGAAGCCTTTGTTCCACGACGTTTAACTTCTACTTGAGCGTAATTGGAAAATTCTAGCTTGGTGGTGTTGGTAGGGATCATAGGCGCGGCTGCTTTTTTCGAAGCCATGAATGCTTCGACGTCGGAATCCGAATCTGAATTTGATGCATAACCACTATCATGTCTCTTGATTCCTCCCATGGGTTTATGAGTAGAAACTGCAGAATTTGTTCTTGACATGGATGGTTTGCGAATACTTGCAAAAGCATTACTAACCGAACGAGTTAATGAAGAAGGTCTTCTTTCAGCGGCAGATTTTGCGTATTTCATACTCGAATGACAAACTTCTCGACCACTTGAGCGTTCGTATCGACGAAGACTAAATTCTCGGTTCTTGAGATCATGCATTCGAAGATGGAAGAGTTGAATTACTTCTTTATCTTGACCATGACCATCTTCCGTGTCGACGCGAAGATTCATATTCCCATCATAAGAAGTATCATCATGACGAATGTATAAACGTTTTGTCGAAGGAAAGAAATGCGCGAAATCTTGAGCAGTGGATGGTCTCAAGTTATTTTCAACCACGGTTTTATATTCCGGTACTTCATATTCTGGATCAAAATCTTCAGGTTCGTCAAAAAGATCTTCTTGAGATGGAGATGTTGAAGCGTATGTTTCTTGAGATGATCGAGGATAATTTGTTGCTGCTGGGGATATGTCATAGGGAGGCAACTCTATACTATCCTTTTGGTAGTAGATGGGTTTTTCGGTGTAGTATTGATGAATTGATGGTCGCGGACTACCATATATTGAGGTAGGTGCTGTGCTATGAGATTCTCGAGAAGATTCATCACTCTGACGTGAATCTCTACTACTCGTACTATGATCGGTAGTATATTTTCGCATGTATTGAGGCATTTTGAGATTGCTTTGGTTGCGACAAGTAAGATAGATTTGGTGCGGTATTGATAGTAGATTATCAAAGAGGAAAAGTATGTAAAGTGGATTCGAAGTAGTGAGCAGTGAATTGAGGATTATATTTGAGTATGGATATGAGTAAATATTGAGGGGTCGTTGAAGTAGTAATCAAAACTTTTGGTAAAAAAGTAATCAACTTATTGATGACGGACGACTCCGGTAATAGACATTAACATGACTATAACTCTTTTGGTTCCTTGAATCCAAGTGGTACATCAATAACGTGGTATAAAACGTGGTGTTTCGAATTGGATGTATGATTTGGCATGAAGATGATTCAAGGGTAATCTTCCAAGACTCGCGATTGGTAATGCTAAGTATTATTCTAGAAGAATATGGAGTTAAAGTAAGAAGATGTTGTTGTTAAATGTTGTTGTTGTTGTTCCTAAGTGGGATGCTTTGGATGCTTGGACCTCTTAATGTCGATATGATTCGAGCGATAGAGGGGCATTCGGAAGATTTGAGACACTTGAAAACCACTAAGATCCAAACGTGGATACTTTTGGTAGCGTTGATGATTTTTGGTAGCTTTTGATATTTGATATATCGATAATGCGATTTCGAAATGTGGAGTGATGTATGGATAATCGAGGGATGATGGATAAAAGTCAAAGATTCCAAGTGGAACGGCGGTGGAGTTGATTATTTTCTTGAACCAAGTTTATTATATTAATTAGTATGGGGGCGGGAATAAAAGACGGAAAGCCTTGTGCGGGTGGGTCAAGAAGAAAAAATAAGGGTGAGGCAGTGAGATGAGAAGATGGATGTGATGAAGAGGCACGGAAAGAATGTGATAGAAGGTTGGGTGTAGAGAGTAGAAGAGGAGGTAAGGTAGAAGAGAAGGTAAAAGGTAGAGAGGAAGGTTAAAGGTAGAAGAGAAGGTTAAAGGCAGACGTAGAGGTAGAAGAGAAGGTAGAAAATAAAAGACAGAGGACTCAATGAAGGGTCAGATTCAACATTCACCAATTCATTCATTCATTCATTCATTCATTCATTCATTCATTCATTCATCAGAAAGCCCAACCTCAAGATTCCAAGATTCCTTTCGGAGTTTATTACCTACAGAGTGCTCTCTAAAAATGGTTTACCTACCGACAGACATTTGCCCCTGTGGATAAATCTTACATGGGAACACAACTCTTACTCATCCTTTTCCATACATCATACATGATTACCTATACTATTCTATCTTTTCTTCCAGTAGAAAACATAATCACAAGGGATGAGAGAAAATCCCAATGTCTAGATCAAGCCATTCATGATAAAGGTTGCAACCATTACCGGTAATAGCATTCAATCATAGCAAATCATGGTCGCTTCAAGTTCCCAAAAGACCTGCCGCCATTAAAACTCTCCGTCACTTGGGGCATTCTCGGGGCAGAGAAAGGTTCGCACTCCTCTTCTTCTAATGTTTCCATCCTTCCATCCTTCCACCCTTCATGATCCGAAGACAAGCGCAATCGTTTCCGATAGGATGAGATGGGGATATCATTTCAACCGTTAGACAATGGTTTTAACCTCAACCAACCATCAACCAACCATCAACCAACATTCTTTGAGCATACAGCGGGGCATGCATTTATTATTCTGCTATATCCTTTTTCCAAGGGATCAATGATCACGATCACGGTTAAAAAACTAGTTTTGGCGTGATGTGCGCCATGATCCGATTAAAGAAATAAAATATTTTACGGAGTACGGAGTTTTTCTCTTAAGCCACTTGAAGCCACTCATGTGCCAATCCATTTCCTACCGATTCTTTTTCGAATTTTGATATATTCTCTCCACCGACAATACCCCATTCATATGCAAAATCAACTCCTTACCGATGGATTTCGAGTTTCACATCTCTCTTTCTCTCCACCGACAATTCCTTCGTGGCAGATTGGCGCGCACGATGACATATTCAAAGGACACAATAATTATCTCTACATGTAAGAATAGCTGATCGTTACTCATCTTTTCCATGGCACAGACTCATACTCCATAACAAACAAACCCTTCTCACAGGAGCCTTGAATCAGGTCTGCATCGCGACAGCTCCGACGGCTCGTACAGCTCGTACAGGCCGAGTCAAACACTTTTCGGTGAACCATTCATTCATTCATTCATTCATTCATACATTCAACCATCACAAGTAAATTCTGTCAGAATTAATTCTCCCTTCGATTCGCCCTCGATCATGTTACATAGCCTTGAATGTAACCTTGCTCATTCAATTGACTGGATGACGAAGTTCTACATGTATTTCATTCCTATCAAATTTTATCACGAACGGCCAATTTCTTAACCATTCTGCCTACCAAAAAAAATATTCGATTCGATGCCCGATCGTATCTCACTCACTCACTTGTCATTTGCTTGGGTCATCTGGAAAAGGAGGCTACCCCATTAAAATTATTTTTTACCTACTGAGATAATCAGCCTCAACACGAATAGTAACAATGCAAGCTGAGTTTAGTGTTCGAGGGAGGCTTGGTTCAAGGTTGTGCTGACCCAAATGTGATTTAGTTGGCCTAAACAATGGGTTATTGGTTAAAACATTTAGAACTTGCTTCACGCGCCCTTATGCAAGACCAGTCACCCCACTCAACTTAGTCCATTTTCTGCCCTATAACTTTTCTATAACCGTTTTCTTCCAATGATCTCTATCAAATTGGAAAATCTTATCTTGACTCTCTTGTATGCTTCATTTCTATGGAAATGCGTACGTTTACATTTCACCTCAGCCATGATTTGTTTCGTATGTCTTGAGAAGATTCCAAAGTCTCAGGAACACGAGGCCAACAAAGTTATGGGGCGAACGATCTAGACTGATGTTTTTATTTCTACTTCATCGTGAAAATATGGCGGAAATCAGGGCAAATTCGATCTTCATCAAACTTTTAACTATCTTGGTTCTGCCGTGTGTATGACAACGGCCATGCAATTTTACAAGTGTGGCAGTTTACCATTTGTGTTTTTAGTAAAGGCCACATTTTACCATCCATATCTGATTCGCTGTCAAGTGTCCGAATTTATAGAAGTTCACCATCCTGCCCAAGTTCCTGGGCCGTGTCGCTACACTCGGAGAACCAATATCTAAAAAATTTGAAAAGATTTCAAATTTTCATGACTACGTTTTTGTTGTAGAACAAATGTAGGGTTTCGTATTTTTTTGAGCAGGTTTTGTGCTTCACTACTTTCCAATCAAATCCACGTTCTCGGTCTACCACATGTCTCACCGAAAAAAGGCGACCAGATCTTATGCAGTTGCCCTTTACTTATGTGCCACTCTTAAGAATTACCGATAATGAGCTATTTAAAGTTTTTAAACTCTAAGATGATGGTATTTACCATGGTTCGCCATACTTCATTACTAGTCATGCGAGAAATGATCATTTTGATTTTCATGCGGGGTATTTCGTACAGCAAACCCCATTTTTCAAAACTGTATTTATATCGAAATGATTTCCGAGTGGTATCAATTCTGCCGATCCAAGTAGGTAATATATGTATGTATGTATGTATGTAGTGATAACCATAATAAACTCTACTTGTGGCACAGTTCGGATGTCATCCCATCCTTCGGTAGGTAGGTAATGTATGGAAGTAATCCTTCCGACGGATAATATACTTCAATAGAATATGTAACCCAACCTCGGAAAGGAGACTCTGGCCTTCTATTCGATATGTTTTTATAATAATCATCATCCTATCATTTTTCTTTTCTCCATCATCATGATGTTTAAACTTTAGACATGATTCTCCCCCGCCCCCACATGTATATATGCATAGAAGGCATTGTCCTATAAGATTAGCTTGGAACATGTAACTGTTACCGCGAGTATTCGAATTCTTCGATTCTCGATCTCCGATCTTCGATGCGAGATCCACTATCAAAATCAAAATCGTGTAATTCAAATATTTCAAAAATTTCAACTTCCTTCTCATAAACATAAGCATAGGAGATGGTGATATGTTTGTTATAATTAGATTGATTGATAGATAGATAGATCTATTACCTAGTTCAGATTCAAATTTGTGATAAACTCGTAATAACTGGTGATGCGGAACATGTGCGTGCAGAAAATGTTTTCGTTGGTACTACTAATGGTGTTGTTCATCTTTGAATGTTTGTTTATATTGGGGATTGGATAGAGGGATATTGGGGGGGGGGGGGGGGGATTGGAAAGGTATCATTGGGCGGTTCTTTTTGTATGTGTGATTCTTTTGCTTGCTTTGTTGTAGTGTGTTTAGTGATTGAATGTTCTACGGAGTAGGTCTGATGATGGGGATGATGATGATGATGATGATGATGATGAAAACTTGTTGGGATTTTGATTTGATTTGATTTTATGCGGATCAAAACAAAATTAATCTTACATGGCTCAGACTCAGATTTAGAGCGTGGGGGTGTTACGAGGTTTGCCGTCTAGATCACGTGGAAGTGCTCTAGACTCTCGAGGTGGTTTATAACTAGGCGTCAAGCAGGGACTTAAGTAATGACAATAATGATATGCAATTCGTAACTAATAGTAGAGTATACTAAATGATTGATCTTGAGCACGAAGCTCTATACAAAGGAAATCCATCTTGATTATATAGACCTTCGTGCCGTATTTCCCACCGTTCCCCTCGATATGAATCAGTGGGATCAGTGGGACGAGTGGGGTCACGTGACACCTTGTTCAGTCATGTGATACGGGTTTTAGTCATAACTGAATACCGTCGTAACAAGTGGGAAGCTGATAGGGCAGAACTGAGGCTATATTGTTCTTGTATATAAATCACACGTTATCTAAGTTCTACGGAAGTGCGAAGTTCTCCTACAGAGAGCTTCTCAATCTAGTCCTAATAGGACTAGTGCCCTGTGCATGTGCTACGCAGGAACCATTCACTTTAACAAAATTAAAATTTTATATTGATATTTACTTTGATTGCTTTGAATAGAATAATTTATGATTTTTATACTTTTTCTAAAGAAAATCAATCTTTGAAGCTTATTTATTTAGAGATCAAAAAATAAAAAGAAATATAATACCATTGATTTAATATCAAATTTTCTTTAACCCCCTCATTTATGTTCAAGAATCGTCAAATCCCAAAATAGACTAGCGCAATCTCGAAAATTATCATGAACCTCAAGATTGTCCCGCCATAATTATAATTTTGAATCTGTCATTGCTCCCACGCACAACAATTACAATAATTAAGGAAGGCAGGGAAGATTGAGGGGGTGAACCGCTAGAGGAAGTAGTATACCAAATATCGCAATAATCCATCTCAAAGCTCAGAAGGGCTCGAATCCTCAAAAATGGCATCAACTCGTATGTCACCCGGCGGGGCACTTCTAAGAGCATCCAGGGTCTTCGCAATCCCTAATCCTCTCCCACGACCAACCGGCAATCTCTCCTCTCAAGCAACATTCGATTCCGATACTGCCACTCTCCCCCATCCAATCCATCAATCAATTACCACTCCCCAATCCTCCCTCGCAAAAGGTGATTGGGGTTTCAAACGTCCCTTACCATTACGAGCTACCACACGCACATCTACACCCATCATCCGCGTAGAATCCATCGATACCTTCGAACACGTTACCGAGTTTGGCTCTGCAGCCGATCATACTTTAACGTTGCGCAAATGGCAGGAAATGAATATTCCAATCTCGACTCCTAGACCTAGTAGATCGGCTATAGTGGCTACGAGGGATCAGAATATTCCTAAGCATAGGAGTGTGTTTGAGGATAATATCGATACGACTGTGAGGAATGATTCTCTTAATCCGGCACTCATTGGTCAGGGCAAAGATGATACACGTTGGAAGTTTTCAGGACCTTGGCTTGCCGGTCTCACAGAAGGAGAATTTCAAACTTATGTTGCGAAAGAGGTGGGCAGGAAAAAGAGCGAATTCAGACAATTTCTTAGGGAATCTTGTGCTTTATCTCTTACGAGTGAAGCTCGTGCTAAGGCTCGTGCTAGAGCACTTGAGAATGATGAGGATGTAACAAATACCCTAGAGATAACGGCCGATCAAATCTCTGAAGATCAATTATCTACATATATCAGATACATCTCCGACATGATGAATCCACTCTGTATCAACAGATCCGCGCCTTCCTCGATCTTGCACCCTCACCAAGCTCCTATACCCGAAGGAGATAGTCCAGATTATGTGCTCCTTTATGTGTCTCAGCCAAAGACCCATCCTGTTGATATCCCCACATCCCCATCTCCATACGCAGAATCCGGTCCTCCAAAACCCATCCTCGGCTGGATTATCCTACTCGCGAAGTAGCAGTTGGACATACAATCATGCGCTTTATGGACCACAAGCACATCATCCTCCTGTCGAAGCTCGTATCGTCATGCCTAAGAATGCATCTGGCGCAGCTCCCGTTCTAGGAGTTGGAGGAGTCGTCGTGGATATTCCACAAGGGTTTAGTCAATTTGATGTAAGACCCACCACTCAAGGATTTAGTGGACCTCGAGGTCAAGAACAAGTTGCGGGTCTATTATTTGTCGAGCCGGAGAAATATGGAGGTTCGAAAACTTGGGTCGAACCTAAACATGCTTATATTGATGCGAAGGGTAAGATTGTTTTGTCGGTCTACCCGGCGGATAGGGATGCCATTGCTGTTAAGGAGGATAAGGTTGATGAGATTCCCGAACCGTTGCAGTGGAATTATACGCCTCCGGTTAAGAAGACTAGTTTTTTGAAACAGAATGGTAGTGGAGAGGGGTATGGTTTGAGTGGGTTTTAGGAATGAATCAATGGTTGTATGTATGTATATTATGTTATAAACGTACATTTTTAAAAGAATTTATGAGAATGCTAGATGATATACAGATGTTATGTCATGTCATGTCAACTTAGTAGCACAAATAGGTATTTACAAGTGAATATCATATCTATCAGTGTTAGATTAGGTATTATACTGTTCTTGATTTCTTATAGTTTAGAGTGGTGAGTCGATACTTGATAAATAGACCTGATGTGTGACATTCATTCGATTATTCTATTCTTATGAGTGAGTGAGAGTGAGTACTTTGGCCTTCATAATTGTCTTATATCTCATGTCTTAGATTTTACAAACTCAACATTACATCCATCCATCCATCTCATCCATCATCCACTCTAGAACAAGTTAAGTCTAAGTTTAAAGTACGAGCCAATAAGCTCACAAGGAATAATCAATCTACCCTCCTCCAAGTGCTCCTCCTCCCCCGAAAATTCCATCTCCATAGTTCATTTTTTCAAATTTCAAATTTGATATTTAGGAATAGCATCCTTGAGGAAGCTTGGAATGTATGAAACAATCTTACCTTACATAAAATTCATTTTCTCTCTTGTCTTGTCTTGAGCCTTTAAGGTTTTCTTTTTTATGTACATAACCTTATGATTCTTGCTCACAACTTCGCCTGTGCAATGTAAACCACTTTCTCCTCACAACTCTCCCCTTGTAACTCCCTCCTCACAAACCTCTTCTCATAACTATTTCTTACAATTCCTCTTTACAAATTCGTCTACATAATCCAAATTACTTTTTTATTAATATTAGTGTTTAGAACTCTTCTTTTTATAATCTTCTTCCTGCAATTATTTTTATGATTATCGTATTATAATTATTCCTCATAATTCCTTTTTATAGATTCGTTTATATAATTTCAAATTAGTTTTTAATAACTATTTTCTTGTAATCTCTTTCTAATGATCTTTTTCTTATAATTATTCCTTGCAAATTCGCCTATGCAATCCAAATCACTTCCTCATCAGCATCAACATCTACAACTCCCTCCTCACAACCCTCCCCTCACAACCGTCCTTTACAAGTTCGCCTGTGCAATCCAAACCACCTTCTCATCATCATCAACTCCCACACTCGATCCTAAAAACCAAGGCGCTCCCAACGTACACGTACCTCCCAGCGAAATACCCAAAATACACATACCCTCGGGCGTGACACCACCTGGCCTCGATGAATCTCGTGCTAGATATCTATAGGGAAGTTTAACAATCTCACTCGTAGTTGCATTCTTAAAGGTAAAATCCAATGTCAAATCTCTGGGGATATCTTCACAGTTACTTGGATATGCCACTTCGTTTTCATAATTGACGAAGCCTGTCGCTTGGAAAAATTTCCGTGTTGTCGAAGTAAGAAGGGGAGGGATAGTTGTAAGGATCCTGAATCGACTAGACATGTTACGTTTGGGGTTGTCGAATGGGGATACTGGTATTTCCCGTGCGCGATGGGGGGGAGGGAAATATAATATTCACCTTGACCGGGCGGGTGTGACGATAGGTACCGAGATTGGGGTTCCGGTGTAGGAGGAAGAAGGTGGTAGGGAGCCGAAGAGAACGGTCCCGGTGTAGTTGTAGGATATGGAGGAATCGGCTGGTGCGGAGTCGAAATACATGGATACGATAGAGGAGGATATACGTCCTTGGTTTAATAATTCGGTTTTGATGTTAGGTCCTGAGTCGAATCCAGCAGGAGTTGCGAGACCCATGATTCCGTAGTCGTAGGAGAGTTCTGGACATGGATCTCCGTCTGGAACATATTGACGCACGGTTCCGGAGGACACGAGCGCGACTTCGATGTTGGGGATTGAGGCACCCGGAAGGGAGGACGGGAAATACAATGTATCGTTGACGGCTTTGTCCGCGTCTAGGATTTTGGAATTTCCTCCGTAGGCATAGCTTCCGCTGAAATTGAAGACCTTGGAGTCGTCGGAGTGGTAGTAAAATTGTGGTGTGGTGTTGCATGCTCCTGGAAATCCGAGGTATTGAGATCCATAGTTTACGGTTGCGTTGGGACCGAATATCTAGGTTTGTTAGATTGTATTCTAGTGATGGATGATTATGTGATGTGTGATTTATGATATTGGATTTGGATCTGGATTCGAAGACGCCAGTCTATAACTTTGAAGGGACTTCAAACTTATATATCCATCATCTTGCTATTGGGCAAAGACATCCATCAAGCCCAATGCCTCAGTACCCAGTCCCCTTTCTCCCCAACAAAAAAAAACAAAACAAAAGGGAAAACAGAAAATAAAACCACAAATAACATACCCAAAATCCCGAACTCCCATAATCAACCACAACCTCAATACTCTGACCAATCTTCTCATTTCCACTCCCCACCATAACCGACGTGGTGACTTTATTCAAACCTCCATATAGAAGATGAATTGGCATGGATACTACATTTGATGATTGACCTTCCGATGCTTGTGCTATTTGCACATCGTTTAGAGCCAGGAGGCTGGTGACGGCTGGAATTTTCATTTTTGTGGTTTGTTGTGTGGTGATGTGTGATGGATGAAGAGGATAGGAGAAAGAGAGTGATGATTTTATATAAACAACCCAGTAAATACAGGTCGATAAATACAATCGTACACAACAAAATAAAAAACAACAAATGGTCCCACGAAGTAGGTAATTATAATAACAATCACATCACATCACATCAAAGCACACTACGATCGGTATATCTCCCCTCTCCCCCTAAAAAAGCGCACGATA